ATGAATGCAAGGAAATAACATAAGATACATTAAGAAACGTTAATGAGTCATTAATTTCTCGATTCAGAAAGTGTTCTGATGCAAATGGTCATCGCCATATTGAACCTTTTTGTTAAATAGACAAAAATTAAAATATCTCCTAAAGTAATAATTTTTTTTACATAAATAGGTTAATACTTTTTTTGTAATTAATATGAAAGAGCATCAGATGATGCAATAAAAATTATATGATTCCATTTAAAAAAAAAGTACCATCAGTATGAGCCCCTTTTAAAGCCATTCAACTGCATGTGAAACATTGTCTGCTACGCGTAATAATAAAAACGTAAATCAAGGTGGTAAATGACCCACCCTGTAGATAGAATTTTTGAAATACATAACAGAAAATTAACATAATTGTTATTCACTTAAAGACAATGATTTTTTTTACAAAATATCAATAACAACTATTTCAACGTAAAACTTAATATTCGCAATAACACACACACCACACTCACACACATACTCACACACACGCAAATAATCCTATCTGGAATTCACTTTGCATTCATGCAATCGCTTGTGCTCTTAAATTAAAATTTTAAAATGTAACAGAAAAAAAAAGAAGAAAAGAAAAAATAAGAGAGAGAGAGAGAGAGAGAGGGAAGGAGAGAAAAAAAAAGTAACAAAAAATAATTGCGAACAATTTGTACGAAGTACAATAATTGTACCGTAGTTAGAAATAAAAAGGAAAAAAAAAAAAAAAAGAAAATCGTGTAAATTCGTAAAATGAAATATGAGTTAAAAAAAAAAGAAAAAAGAAAAAAGAAAATGAGGTAAAAAGAAATAGAAGAAAAAAATTAAACAAAATAAACAAAATAATAGAAAAAATATGAAAAAACAAATATCGTAAAAAAAAAAAAAAAAAAAAAAAACATTGAACAAGTTGATAGTAATATGTGAGTTTTGTGGTAAAACTGAATAAACATTCAAAAATAATTCAACAATTTCATTGAAAGTAGTTCAAATCATTGACTAAAGAGTCAAGTAAATTCGTGAAAAGGTTAAATGGGAAATCGTTGAAAGGGATTTAGATATGGTTCCCATGGGTAATCCTTCGGCTGGTCCGATAGTGGTGCTATAAAGACGATAAGTCTTTAACTACATATATGGCGTGAAATGTGACCACGTTTCAACTATCTATCGTTTTATCGATAATTCCCATCCCCTAT